AGAAGAATTGTGGGCCATCCTTGGGTCACTGCAGCACCCACTCCTGGGTCAGTTTAGCTGCACTCTGTTAGCAAGAACCCTCATAAGAGTATGAATAGATGCTAACAAACCTTTTTAGGCAGGTGGTCATGGAAACTGACGGAACCTGTCTGCTGGTTTAATTTGCATTGACTGCTCTCCTCATTCCCCTGCAGGTCAGCATATCCACGGTGGGCTATGGAGACGTCTACCCAGAGACTGTACTGGGACGTGTCTTCGCTTTCATCTGCATCGCTTTTGGGATCATCCTCAATGGCTTGCCCATATCCATCCTCTTCAACAAGTTCTCAGATTATTACTCTAAGCTCAAGTCCAATCAGTACACAGCCTCATCGAAGAAACAAGGGAAGGTGAGATTTGCCAAGAGGACAGTGAAAAAGTTCAAACACTGCTTTGGAAACCACCATTGTCACACAGACTGATTTCATTTGTGCTTTTATATAAAGAAATAATTAGTTTGACTGTAAAATTGTGCAAAAATCTTTGTGATGGGAATAAATACATGCAACGGGGACAAATATTGAGGGTTAACGCAACAGCAGGCTGTGCTTTATTTGGCAGTGTTTGCAGTTGGGAAGCCAACGAGGGATCCCACAGGTACATGGCTATCTCTAAGTCAGTTGGTGGTGAAAAGGACCACAGTTCAGAGGAGCAGGCTGAAATGCCATATTAAAGAGCAATACTAAAAACAATACTACTGTATGATCTCTTAAATATTTACTTTTGTTTATAGAAAATGTTATTTTTGTTACAAAATATTCAGAATCATAAAGAATCACCCCAAATATACAGTATGTGTCATCTTCACTGAAATATAAAACATTAAAGAAATATCCACAAGAATTATTGCCTCTGGCTGGCTGAGGCACAGCACATGAATGAAAAGCGTTTTATTATCACCATCGTAGCTCTCACTGCAAGCACCTTTTTGTTACTCTAAAACATAACTCTGTAACCAGCTGATTTTGGAAGACGTGTTTTCTAGGGACAGCTTAACCAGGACTCGGCATAAATCTGAGCAACAAATTAATGCTAATTGCAGCTGTAATGTTATGAATCAGTGTGCTCACACGAGATTTCTGCAGGTGCTTTCAAAGTATACCAAACCTGCACACACTGGTGCTGCCTTTCATATGTTTGCAGTGTTCAGTAGGTTTGCCTACAAAGTATGCTGTATGACTGACTTGCAGTGCATGCAAGTATCACCATCATCATGCAGTCTGACACTATGTTTTAATAAATACTGTACTGCACATGAAACTATTTTCTGTATTGACTAAATACTGAATCCTCATGAGAATGGTCAGGCACAGGGATGTTCATCTGCATTCATCTCTACTGACCTCTTTCGGATGACCTATCCTATTGACAAAAGCCCTTTTCATGATGTCTAATATGGGGCTCCAGCTTTCATTCACTGATGACTGCTAGAATACAGAAAAAACAGTATATTATATTAACAATACTAATGCTAACTACTAATAAATACTACTAATACTAACTACAATAACAATATACTATTGAGACATTCATTTATATTTATATTATTTATATCCAGAATAATAATGTCAAATGACCACCAAGTGGTAAATGCATAACTGATGATATAAACAAAAAACATAGCCGCTAAAAAAATAAAATAAACAACAGCCCTCTCACACTCCCCCCCTCACACACACACAGGCATATTATATTTTAGCAGCATTGAGTGTGGTAACTGCTGTTGGGTAAAAACTATTCTTGAATCTATTGGTCCTTGATTTGATTACTCTGAACCGTCTACCTGATGGCAGCAGTTCAAAGAGTGAACCTCCAGGGTGTGAAGTGTCCTTAATGATGTTCTGTGTTTTTTGAGGCAGCAGGAACTTTACAGTTCTTCCAGAGTGAGGAGAGGGCAGCCGACTATCTCCTTGGCCGTATTAATGACCTTCTAGAGCTTTTTCATCTGAGCCACTGTGCAGCTGCTGTACTATACACATATGCAGTATGAAAGGATGCTCTGAATGGAGCACTGATAGAAGGACACCAGCAGTCTCTGGGAGATGTTGTTCTTCCTGAGCACCCGTAGGAAGTACAGTCTCTGCTGGGCCTTTTTAAACAGTTCAGAGATATTCAAACCCCAGGTCAGATCCTCCTTGATACGGACTCTCAGTAAGTGGAAGGCTGGCACCCTCTCCACACGGTCCCCGCTGATATACAGTGGCAAGATGTTGGTTTTCTTGTTGAATATATTGTTAATAAAATGCAGCGAGCAATTAGAATGACACTTAAATGGGGACTTAGATTTTCAGTGGATAAAAAGAAGACAGTCTATTTTATGTGGAGGACAACTAATTGGAATTTAAAACTCAGGTTATATGGTCAGGAATTAAAGCGAGTGGATTATTTTAAGTATTTGGGTTTGTGGTTTGTTAAAGGTTGACATGGGCACTGCATACAGAGAAGGCAATAGATAAATGCAAAAAGGTGTTGAATGTTGTGAGATGTCTGAGGGGGGTTGAATAGGGAGCTAGTAGATCAGCAATTACGACAATATACACAGATCAGTGATTGATTATGATAGTAAGGCATATGGGTCTGCAGCACAGACAGTTCTAAAGAAATTAGATATAATTCAAAATCAAGGTCTCAGGTTATGTTGTGGAGCAATTATTTCTACGCCAGTAGCTATAACTGAGGTGGAAAGGGGGGAAATGTCATTGGAGCTTAGAAGATTGCAGTTGGCATTAATGTACTGGGCCACTTTGAAAGGTCATAGTGTGGGTCTCCCCAGGCAAATGGTGTTGAAAACATTTCAGGAACAAGAGAAAAGGCAGATAAGGATGGGTGACAGAGAAGATAGCTAATGACATGAGACTAAGTGATGTAAATGTTCGTCCCAGTGTAGTGTATCCAGCAGTTCCTGGATTGAGGATGTTTTAGTAGATTTGGAATTACTTCGGAAAATAAAAGGTGAAATAGTACATAGGAGTATGGTAGAGATCTTGATTATATACAAATATATACAGATGCATCCAGATTATTGGATTCAAAAGTTGGAGTGGCCTGTGTGATTCCTGAATTAAAAGTGAATATAGCTAAAAGATTGAGTGATAATTTAAGTGTTCATATGGGAGAGTTATTAGCTATATGGTTGGCTTTAATATGGATGGAAAAATATAGACCGGTGGGTACAGCAGTACTGATAGGCTCAGATTCCCGCTGAACTTTGATTAGCTTAAGGAATTTTCACTCAGAAACCAGACAAGATATAGTATTTAATAGAGTTTTATTAACTAACAATCTTCAAAAATCAGGAATCAAAGTTAAGTTTCTGTGGATATCTTCACACATAGGGGTAGGGGGCAATAAGCAACCTGATGTCAATGCTAAAGAAGCTTCAGGCAGTGCTAATATCTGTTTGGAGATCAAGTATAGTATGGCAGAATTGAAAAGTATAATTAAGTGTAAAATGTTACAGAAGTGGCAGCTTTTAAGAAATAATGAAAGAGCTGGTCATCAGTTATATGGCATTCAGAAGAAAGTGGGTAGGAGTAGGAATACTAGCAGGTCAAATTGAAAGGAAAATATAATTTCAAGGGTGAGATCTGGACGTACAAGACTGATTAGTACATTAGTTTAAATGAATAAACATAATACTGGAAGATGTGATTATCGTGATATGTCTGAAACAACAGACCATGTATTCAAGGAATGCCCAAGATGTCAACAAGAGAGACAAAGGTTAATAATACAGCTTGAAGAAAATAAAGTATGGTTTGACATAAAGGATATTTTGCTAAGGAAATCAGGAAAATAGTGTTTTCGGAGTATTTTTCCTTCCTATTCAGAAGGTGGCGGTAATGCATCTAACGTTGCTTGCCAATTGCTGGAATTAGAAAGAAGAAGAAGAAACGTCTCTTCCTCTGTCTTCTGTGGTGATAAAGTGACCTCTGTTGCTAGCTGTTAGCCTCCTCTACAACGATGGTTCCTCCGGTTGCAGTGTCGCCTTTGATTAAGGTTTGTATTGCCGGTTATATTGTGAAAAGAGGTTGTTTGTGTTTTACTGTAAAGTGGTCTTTGCAGTCGTATGACATTTTGCCAGCTACCCACTAGCTGTGAAGCATGCTAACAAACAGCTTTTTGTTTTTGGCGACGTTACTAAAGCTTGGAGTGAAACCAAGACCTAGTGAGTAGATGCGACTGTGCTCACGTTACATTTTGTCTTATTATTGCACCAGTCTAACGTGTTGGATGCTATAAATGTAGCGTGCACTGACCGAGCGTCACCCTGATGTTGCTAATAGACGATAACTAAGCTGTCTCCACTGAACCGACAGTGGCGCTAACTGGTTATAAAAAGAAGGTCTTTGGAAGTAATGGACAATCGAGGATAAGAGAGAATTCAAGATAATACATTATGAATAATACCGCATCCCCTTTGTTTTGGTTTAAAGTTGGTTACTTATGGTTTGACAAACCAGCTGTAACGTATGTTGCCCTCTGCTGTTTGTTTCGGTCGAGAATAAATGCAGCGTGCACTGACCGAGCGTCACCCTGATGTTGCTAATAGACGATAACTAAGCTGTCTCCACTGAACCGACAGTGGCGCTAACTCAAAAGACCTCAAAAGATTCCTGCAGCACTATATAGACTTCAGTGGGTGTCACGGCATTATCAGTCTAGATCTAGGTACTTGATGGAAGTGAGCTTGCTGCTGTAGTCCTTTGTTTACGTAGAATTTACGAATACTGAGTGAATGGCAAAACATCAAGAGTTTAACTGAAAGCTCTGTTACCATTTAATTGTACTTGTAGATATTCTGGACCTGTTCTGAATAGGCTAGTTTGAAATGTTATGATTGTGACTGATGTGTTTAACTTTTTCCATGACAGACAGCCAGGTATTCAGCTTTGATTGCTGGAGTCATCTATGGCAAAAGGCGATATGGTAAGTCATTCTGAATAGTCATCACGCAGTGTCCTTTGTACCAGATGATGACTAGAGACCCTAATACTTCAGAATACACTTTACGTTGAGTTTTCCTTTCATTTTTTGCCTGTCTGTATGTAGACACACAAACCATGTTTGGTAAAGATCAGTAAGAAAGCTGATAAACACTGTAGAGATTGTCATTGGGAAATCCAATGCAGGCTGTTAATGATGAGTGCAAATTCCTTTTCCCCACTTAATCAGTATTGTATTTTTTTTTTTACTAAACCTCTTGATTTGCTCAGACTACCTGAAGCCAATAGCAGCTGAGGAGAGGAGGATTGAGGAAGAGGAGAAAAAGATCCGTGAGGAGCAGGAGCGCATTGCCAAGCAACTAGCAGAAGGTAGCATCATCAGGCTCATTCATGTCCAGTACTCACCTTTCAGTTGGCACATGCGTAATCTGCATGCTAATCGATTCATGCACAATAATACACATTTACTGTTGCATCACTCTTTGAAGTGCACAAAGTTTTGCCCTTTCTCTTTTCAATGTGACTCATGCTTGAAGTGTAAAATCTCCCATTTTCTAATCTCAGATATTTAACTTTGTCCTTACAGCAAGTGAAGACACCATTCTGAAGTGAAGCTGATGTGCTGTGTGAAGATCCTGACGTCCAAACTCCAAACCTCTCCCTCCGTTTTCTGGAGCAACAATGGCAATGTTTGATCACAGCCAATCTAACAGTCCCATGTTCTGGATGTGTTCACTGTTGTGTTGAATGTTGCCAGATCCAATGATTTAAAGTTAATTACGTGATATGAAAAAAAGCATTGTAATACTGCAAATACAGCTGTACCAATATATTAAGTTCATGTTTGTAATGAAGCAGTCATAAATACAGAAGTACACAACCTCTGTAGTTTTTGTTTACCAGCATATGGTATTTGACTATGATCGGTTTGTTACAGCACAGATTAGACCGATCTAATATCACAGCAGCTTCTTGTTTCATAATTAAAAATGTTATTCACATTAGTCATCATATAAAATGCGAGGTTTTCATTTGTCCCACATTTTATCCTCGGATGATTCTACATTGCTTCCTACTTGCAAACACCTTTGTAGATCTCATTAGAATGAATACAGATCTAATTTATTGTATTGACTTATTTACAAGCAGGTACATAGGTGTCATAAAACAAATCTCTCCAAGACTTCAAATAGTATTTTATCAATATTTTTATGGAAAAGGCACTGAAGGAGTTTGGTGACTTTGTATACAGGTCAGTGTTTAACTTCTCCCTGCTGAGTTACTCATGTTGAAATTGTACATATGATGATGATGGAAAAACACTAGATGCAGCCATAATACACCTGCCATGTGATCATTTTGTTGGCTTGAGCCTGGACGTGTGTTCACGTTATTACTAGAACAACAGTGCCAGGGCTGACTGAAAGTACAGCTGGACTTGCCGACATGCCATTTGTCTAGACTTACTGTAGCTTTCACTACTGTAGTTAGGAAACATTCTCTTCTCAAGACTGGTGAGGGGAACTTAAATGTGTGTGGTGAATGGGATTTTTTTTTTAAATTGGGCGCACCACAACGGGTTTTTAAAGTAAAAATTGCACTGCTCAACAGTTACTAATTGCACCAATTGGTTGAGTAAGGAAATGAAAATTAACAAATGAAAAATTCTTTTTAACAGCTTCAAGAGGGAGACTTGGGCTTCAAGCAGGTTGGGTGAGGTACAGTTTTGCGTTTCGTGTGCTTCTTATATTTTTGGACCTGTGGGAGACCTCCCAGCATGGAATTTATCCCACACCTGCAAAGCATTAAAGTCACAAATGTGATAGTTTCATACGTAGATGTGATTGTTGTCAGAGCTCTACTGTGTGGGTTCTTGGGAGGCCAAGCCTGGCAGAGACAGACAACCCAGATGACTAAACTCTGGGGCGCTCACTTTGGGTGTATTTATCTTATTTTCTGTGATGAGAATGACAGCAGCTATGACTAAAAACTGGGTTGTCGAGTCTACAGGTTGACACCATGTTGAATTATTATTCCAGTCATGGCTGTCGCCTGTGCAGAGGCATAAAAACATAAACAAAACAGGTGACTAGTAACAAAGCATCAGATATTTCATAAGTATTTTTTGTGTGGAAAGTCTTTATTCATAAAAATTGTCACTGAAATAAATGTGTAGTAAAAACTACACACGTGACGCTGAAGCATGTTTCTGGTTAAACAGCTGTTATTGGTGGAAGATGGGACAGGGTTAGACGCTGAGGTCAGTGTTTCAGGTTCCTGAGTCAAAAGTTGAGTTCAGGATTCTTCTCTTCAGCACCAAGGACAGATCACGTTGTTTCACTTAAGCTCCTTGTTTCTTTTACTGATAGAAAGTGACCAAACTCCCTTCAGAAGTCCAGCAAGTTAATTTTGCTTTTATGAGAACAAACATAACATTCAATATATAACTCAAGCTGTGCCAGCTTCTTAAATGTAACATAGTAGTGATCCATGAAGTTGGACTTACTGCAATAAACCATATTTACAATGAGGCTGCTGCTGCTGCTGGCTGTCATTCAGCTTTTTCTTTGGCCATGGTGCTTTTATACCTGTATACAAAGTCACCAAACTCCTTCAAAAATCTGGTAGTGTTTGTTTAAAAACAAGCATGCACCATGAAACTAATCATTTCTTGAATGTGAACAACAGGTAAATTTGCCTTAAGACATAACGTTATTAAATATATTTAACATTAGTTTGCTGCTGTTCTGTCATCTGTTAGTGATGTTTTACAGTCACAATATAACCTTGTTTTTCCATATAGCCATCATAGATTGAGATACCTTAATCTTAACTTATAAAATCTTTTCAGTCTCCAGGTATTACAGCTTATATCATCACAAGATGCAATTATTAAACCAAAAACAATGCAGGAATCTAAAGGCAACAATTAAAAACAGCACTGTGACAGTTTTACTGACCACACATTAAATACAAAAGAACAGCAAAACAGCATCAACTGATAAACTGAATTAATAAATTATAATATCTGGTTGTTGTCCTTGTCTCTGTAAAAAATGAGCCAAACTTTACTTATCTAGCGAGTAAACACAAAACAATCAAAAGACATTTTTCAAATGTGAAAAATAGAACATAAGTTTAGAGATGACAAAGTAATATGAATTATCATCATAATATTATTTAAATTTTATTAATCAGACCAAAACATTAGATGGATGACTCTGATGGTCTGATTGCAACAGTTTGTTAAGAAAGTTTCTGTTTTTGTTGATTACAAATCTGAGTATCGACACATTTTGTGCACAGCAAACATGATCAGCAAAGCCTCATTCCAACACTGCATTTAACAAATTGTCCTTAGGGATGTATGACACAGGTGGCCTGTTCATTTCTACATGAAAGAATAAAGCTTGTGCTATTTTCTGTATTTCCTTACTGTTAACAAATCCACAGAAGAGACAAAAATCAATTAATCTGACTGTGTATGAATCCAATTCTGCTATTTACTTCTTTTTGAGTAACATCTATGAAAACGTGTCCAGTTGTTTGAGTAAATAATAAAATGAAGCTACATCTTTATCATCCCATGCTGTTTAACATATAGAATCAGAAGGCTGCGGTCTCTAAAAGGTTTTTTCAAAGGTAATATCCATGTGAGCAGACCTGACCCTGGTCTAGTGCTCCTCTGAATACCTCTCAGGCAGCGAGTATGGCCCAGGCCTTCCCCAGTGGTCCATAGCTCGAACTCTGTACAGACCATCAACTTCCTGGTCCGCTGCAGAACACAATGAGGTAAATGGTATTCTTTATAAGGCTGGATGTCACAATGCCAAGGTATGTTTTAAAAGGTGAAGGCAATACTGTTTTGCGCTTTGCTGCTCATTTATGCCTTTAAGGGGCTGACAGAGAATTCTTACCAGGCGCAAAAACATATGAAGTAAAAATAGTGTCCTGTGTGTTAATCCTGCTGATTTTTTTTGAGAATTCAACTTCAAATGTTTTGATACATCTGCAAATGCAAAGAAAACTAAATGAATGAATGCTTACTGTCATGTATATTACATATCAACATCTCAAACTGGTCTACTGTACTGCTACACTTGGTATGAGAGTTCTGGATAACAAGCTGTTTAAATTAATAAGTTGGTACCTGCTGTCATGACTTCACAGTTTCTTGCAGTGACATATGCAAAAACAAATAATCAGTGATGTGCACTTACTTGGAATCAATACAGTGATCAGACCAGACAATCAGGACTTGGCCTTTGGTGATCCTGATGAAGCGCAATCCATTAACCTAATCAAGAGCCAAATATAGTTGTAAAATATCTCTTAGAGAGAACGGCTGGGATTTCAAGACAGTAATAATTGATCCTCTCTACCTCACCTATTCTACTCTATAATCTTAAAACTTTACTCCCCTCCACTTTCCATGCACCCGTCACTACCTGTGTGTCTCTTCTCTCCCGTAGTGTGTCCTCTCTCTCTCCCTGTACCTTTCTGCAGGTTGCCCTGGAGCTCTACGTCTCTGACGAGCAGTCACCAGCCACATCGACCTGATCAGTGTTTGATTGTTGTGTCTTGTTGCTTTTCTTCTTTTGTCTCTCCTCTATCCACTCACCCCAACCGGTCGAGGCAGAAGGCCGCCCACCAAGAGCCGGGGTCTGTCGGAGGTTTCTTCTGTTAAAGGGAGTTTTTCCTCCCCACTGACGCCAAGTGCTTGTTCAAGGGGGATTTGTTGGGTTGCTCTCTATAATACTGTAAAGTCTACCCTTATTATGTAAAGTGCCTTCAGATGAGTTTTTGTTGTGATATGGAGCTATGCAAATAAAACTGAACTGAATTAAACAACAGTGGAAGAGTTTAACAGGCTCCATAGACTGTTAATCACAGCAGACTCTGAGTTACATTCCTGGCAAAGTGACTTCTAAAATTAAATAGAAAACCACTTTGTCACTTGGTTTGGTGGCTGTTTAAAAAGCCATCTTGCTTACACTGACACAGCAGGAGAGTCGTTTAAACCCCGCACTGACCTGGTCCGGCACGGCTTTGGGTTGTGCACAAACATGGATGAGGAGCACAGAGGGGACAGACAGTTTGACTTTCAGAGTCAGAGTGTCCCCAGCAGGAACTTCCCAGGGTCCATCAACACGAGGATCCTGACACAATGACACGTCATCAGTTGGTCAAAATACAGACAGGCGACAAATTAAAGGAAAAAAGCTGAAGAAGTGAGTGATCTCTTCCAGGACGACAGTGGCCCCATCCACAGGACATGAGGGGTCACTAAAGTGAGGAGTATGAAAATGATGCGAGTCCGTTGATGGTGTTCTGGATTATACTGATTTCTGCTGTCAAACACTCAAACTGCATGGCAGATGACAACCTAGCAATCATTTCATGTAGATTTTATTAAAACATACATTTAGGATGAAATAAAAATAATTGCTATTTGGAGGAATGTCTGTGTTTTCAACTCAATGTATGTTGTTAAACCCCCCCCCCATCATGTCATGTACATTTTTATATATTATTGCTGTTTACCTGCGCACTCCTGAGGCTCCTGAACTGTTCTGCTGTGGGGTAGTCGGGGCTGCCCATGTTCCGCCACAGCTGGTATGGGTTGGTTACGTTGTTGTCCATGTAGTATGTGACATACACCAGACCTGATCCAGATGACAGGACTCAAATGAACCACTCACTTGTAGAAATACAGGCCTGTAGGATTTCTGATATTAGCCAATGTTTTGAGCTAAAACAACATTAAACTGTGCAGTATATTCAGTCCTACCCTTTTGAGCAGCCAGTCCTTTCAATGACACTGTGATGTCATCAGTTTTTGTGGAGGTGCTGTTGTCATCACTGTTGTAGACCAGCACTGCTGCCTGCCAGCTGTCTGAGCCGCCGGGTATTACAGGCTTGTGGCTGCTGGCCAGAACTCCCACTGTGCTGCTGCTTGTTCCTGCCGAGTTCAAAATCTGATGCAGGACCTGGGTCTCTCCTTAGAGTGAAATCACATACAGGAAAGGCAGCAGGACCACTGAGACAGAATCTGGGCAGATCAAACAGCAACACCTGGAAATCTGAGCTTTGCTTGTACAAGGGCTACTTTAGATAATGCACCCATTTGAATTATATCAACTCAATCACACGTTTCCACCAGGGCTCAGTAAACCCCTGAAGGATCACCCGTTCTAGAGTAAAGAGCCTGTCACCTAGCAATGCCAGCAGGCCCATGACGGTGAGGACAGGCTTCCTGATCAGCTGCACGTGAGGTGGCTGTGTGTTGTTGACCTGAAAACGGGCGGTCAGCGTGCGCTGGGTGAAGGGGTGTGGGTGGTAGCTGAGGAAGGCATTGTCATTGCTCAGCAGGGTATAGTTGATGGTGCTATTTGGTTCTACCAGCAACAGATCCTGGTGCTGGTTTATTATCTGTTGGAGGGAGAAGAGCAGCAGATTGGTTGAGGGTAATTTAGTATTTCAATCTGATAACAGTCTAAGGCAATCAAAGTGCTTAACACAGTGCACGCAATGTACACAGATAAAGCATTAAAGTACATATATAAAACATTAAATTGAATATTAAATTAAATCATTAAATGCATAGTAAAAGAAAAAATGGTTGCGTTAAGGGAAGAAAAATCAAAGCAGAAACACGTGTAGAATTAAGATACTATAGTTAAAGGCCGTAGAAAAAAGAACTGTCTTTGGCTTAGTTTGAAAAGTGGCACTGAAACAGCTCAATCATTTCACTTAATAGCCTACGTGGAACAAAGACTAGCTGTATATACTGAATATAGCCTCAGGGTTAATGTGTTAAAAGATGAATGCCTGCTGCTGCTGATACTGGCCTTTTACAAAACTGGAAATTCCTGTTGTGTAGCAGACACTGAGTGATAAAAACCATTTATAGCCTCATTTGTGTTTTCAGCGATATAAAGAACAAAAGTCAGGCTGAAACACTGAGGGCCTATGCTATTCTTGGCTCATTAAAGCTGAAATACTTAATAGCAGCCATTATTAATACATTTAGCTCTAAAGTTAAATGTTAGCTTCAGCCAACACAAAAGCTCAGTCACTCATTCCTAGGAACATAATCTATGGGCACTCTCTAAGAGACATAACCCTCCCATAAAAAAGCATTATGTGCTCAAATGTGATTTTTACTCTGGGTGTTTTTCCTCTCACCTTAACCACCATGGCAGCGTAGGTCACATCAGCCCTCCACTCCTGCGGCCTGGACCAGCCCACCAGAGGGTCAGCCTCATCGTTGTACACAGGGAGGCTGCGGAACTGCGGGAAACGCCCCTGGATCTCCTCCACTGTCTGGACTTCCTGCTGTAGAATGGGCAACGAGTAGCCTCCTCCCTAAAGGAGCAGTGATTCTAATTACCCCAGTTTTGTAATCAATTACCTAATGAATGCATTACTAGATATAGTTTTACATACCTCAGGTGATTACAGAAACAGAATTTAGTGTTTAGAGTCATTCTTTAAGGTGCAAGCATTTCATTTGTCAGCCACAAATCTAAAACACTTGCAAGTGAATGCATTCATGTTCTGTTTGCTCTAGATATGCTTTCAATCCAGTGAAACGCACCTTCTTGTGCAGGGCGATGAAGTCGATCCTGACTCCATTCTCTCCAGTGAAGTAGTTGGTGCCATTGTAACAGTGCTGCAGCATGGCCCAGCAATACGGCGAGTGCGGGGGAGAATGGCAGGAGTCTCCTGGACCCCCAAACTTGAGGAGACTACTGGCAGCATGCAAACCCTCTGAACAGGCATCATAATAGTTCAGAAACCCTAAAAAAGAAAGAAACAAAGAAATAAAAGACAGAACTGCTCATGGACACAGTATTCCAGTGTCTGGTCTTTCACATTCAAAATCAGTAATGGCACTACTCAACCTGTGAAATGTGAACATTTTCATAAAAATCACTACTCCATGTTACAACTTTCACCCTTCCTATACAGGAGCAAGGCCTCCAGACTGGAAGAGACACAAAAAAAGGACTACAAACAATGTGGCTGAATCTTTATGGTCATTTTTGCATCTGTTGGTGATCATGTGCATCTTGTTTTGGTCATTTGGAGTCACTCAGCTCTGACATTCAAACAAAAAACATCAAGTCACTCCACACAGACGCTCTGGCCCAGGGGCCCCCTTACCTCTCAGGGACCCAGGCTATTGCTAATGTAATGTGTTCACGACAATCTGCCTAATCCACTATTGATCATATGGCAGGCAGACAGCGGTGATTAGCTGAGGTCTCATTTTGTCAGTGTAATCACTGATGTACCATACCAACTTTATTTATAAAGCACTAAAAACAACCAAAGTGGACCAAAGTGCTGTACATTGCAATAAAACAATATAAATTATGGAACGATCACTGATGTACAAAGTTTTAAATATGCATTCATCGAATGACACATTTTTATAATAAGAAACAACAATATATGTGCACAAGTAATTATAATATATAAGAAAAGAATGAAAACAAAATTCAGGGGAGAAAATCTGTGCTTCGTAGTACGATGGCTACATCTGACAACTTTTTCCACTTAAAAAAAACCCTGATATAACATAAAAATGTCATGTAGGATTCACTATGGGTTTACCTTGAATCGTCATAGTGACGTTATCAAAGTCATGGTTGTTGGGCTCGTTCCATGTTTCAAAGTTCCACTGAGAAACACTTCCCAGGCCATACCTGTCTGTAAGCAAATGAACATTTGGACATGTCAGAAGTTACACTGTGTAAAAGCAGATTACGTTTTACTTAGTCTTAGTCTACAAAATAGCAAATTCAGGTTAAATTACACAAGTTTAAAGAATAATGTTGATGTGAGGACGTTATCCAAAAAAATAAAATGCAGCAATTTCAATTTGTACTGACCGTGATTATATAGTATGAAGTGCAAACCTACTGTATACAATAATGACAAAACAACGACACTGCAGTTACTCACCGATGTACCTCTTGGCTATGAGATAAACCAGATTTCTCCACTCCACCACTTGGGATTTGTTCTCAAAATCAGTGAAATAGTTGGAAACAGAGCCCATCAGTTCAAACCCTGGAAACCAGAAGTAAAGGAAATAACTACAGTTCAGATACTTACAGCCGCATCTCGCCAGCTCAACAACACAAATCAGAAAAATCACATTTGAACTGAAGATTTCTTTTAACTTTATATTTCACACATGTGGTTTAAGTTTAGTTTGGAACAGGCAACTGAAAGAACTCTGCTTTGGATTCCTAATGAAAACATTCAGGAAAATTTCCTTCAGGAAACACCAACCTGGAACCAGATGACAACATGAAGAGCAGTGTGTGATTTAACTGGGAAGAAGATTACTTAATACATGCAGCACAGTCATGATGTGATGGTTTCCAGCTTGGGTTGATGATACAATACCTGGTTGGAGTCCATTAATCCACAAAAGGTCTATCAGCTGGTCCAGTTTAGTGAAGTTGTACTGGGATTGTCCTCCAACATCTCTACAACAAAATCAGGCAGCTGTAATTTTATCATAAGAAATACTCAAAACAAACAAATGGAAATCAAACTAAACACATTTTAAATTATACTAAATGTCAGGCTTTCTTTCACTGGAACCACAGTTCATGCCCCTGATATCTTAAGAGCTCTCCAGCAGCTAGATCACTTACTGTGCGCTGATTAGCTCCAACATCCAGTGTATCCTGACCTGCTGGATCCCTCCGTGGGGAACTGAGCCCACGTAGGCCATGTTCAGCTGCTGGTCAATGCTCAGGTCAAACTGGTGAGCCTGGGTGTGAGGGAGAGGGGGGCTGGACATGAGGAAGAGCCTCCTGTTACCTCTGTGATCCACTAGCGACACAAAATGCATTTATAGTATGTCAGATATATGAGCTTGTTTATCGGCCTGTTCGGCTTATCAGCCTGAGTCACGTGATTTCACTTTTAGCCTAGATTTACTGCTTGAGAAAAAGTATGCCAAGATCCACTCCTGTATATTTTGCTGGAAAAACTGTGAATATTTTACCTACCAGAAGCCGGTACTTCTCCAGAAGTGTTTGAGCTCCCCTATTTTTCTCCCTACATCAACTGTGATAATATACGTGCCTGAAGTTTCGCAAATGTTAATAAGAAACACGAAGATAAAATAAAATTCCACCGCATCTCTGCGACTGACCATGACCACTTTAAGTCACGTTAACTTAAATGGCTTAAAAATGATGTGACGTCAGTAGCGAGGTCAGTTTAATCCAAATATGACTTAAACACGGTATATACAAAAGGATCTAACAAAACCCATTCTAACAAGACTAAAAGACATCAAAACACACATTTTCAATCCGGTAGCAAGCTGCGTTCGCAGGCAGCTGAGTATGGTGACGTGTATTACATGCGACACTGTTGTAGTCTTTTATGGAAGCTTCACACTAACCGTATGCATAAACACTGTAAATTGCACTGTATATGATGAATTTGGTGGGTAGAAATTAGAGATTGGTGCACATACTAAGTTTGGGTGCACTTTTGTGAATTTTTGAAACAGTATTAACTTGTGGAAATGTGGTAGGACTACTTGGTAACGTGTGAGGACCACTGACTGTATAAACTGGTTAGGATGAAGACCAGGGGCATTGCTAGACATGAAGCTCTACTGGGGGCACAAGACCTTTATAACTCAAATTACACTATTTTTTTCTTGAATGTTTATTGCTTAGCCCCCTGTTCCACTGCCTGCTGCTACTATAACATCTACTGGTAAAAAGTTAAAAATGTAGATATTTTCATTATGAAAAGATTTATTTCAACATGCATTAAGAACATTATCAACATGTTTTTTTGGTGTAAAGGTCTGGCTCTGTATTGCACATTTTTTGCATTCTTATGCATTTCACAATAACTAATTTGTCTGTCAAGCAGCCCATGTGTCTTACTAAAAAATCATGAATTAAAAAAACAATCTAATCATATTTTGTAACTCAAAGTTCTCCAGTTACTTTGAAATTGTATCGTGCAATGGATAGCTGCTGGTGACACACCTGTCTCCATAGAGGTCCCTGCACAGACATCTTTCTCCACACTTTCTCTTCCTGCCTCAGGTTCACTTGTTTGCCTAATGTCTATAAAACAAACATTTTTTTTGGACTATGTGAGAAGATAGAATATTCATTAAATGCAGAATGAATAATCCAACATCAATCTTTACATAGACCACTATGTGTGATGTACACTTACTGGCCACTTGTACACCTGTACAACTGTATTCATTTCAATGCTGTCAACATCGTTGTCTATGCACCAGCACGCCTCCATCAGTAGCTGCTGCTCCTCTTCCAGATGGTTTACAGCTAACATCTAGCCATTGGTTGTGGTCTGAAAGACCCGAAAACATCTCTTATAAACGAATGTGTGTCAGTGGTTTAAGCCTGCTGATATTCTCTTCACTGTCTGAGTAATTAGTTTATTTCCATCATGTCATGTTACATCAACAAATCTTATGCACAGTGAAGACAGAAATGATACATTTCTACAGAAAAGGTCTCGTTTCAGAATTTTGACACCATTTTTAAATAAACACTAAATGGGAAACTGTTAAAAGCTGTTAATGGGACATTTATTAAAAAAAAAAAAAAAAGACAAGAGGACGTGAAAGGAAAAGTTCTGATGTCATTTACAGTCAAAGATAGTTAGACAGCAACAGTTATACACAACCATTTACACAACCTGTACAAATATTGTCCCCCACAAATCTGCCATTTAAATTCAAAATAACTTAAATAGGTTTCTATGTAAAAGTGCAAATCCATATACGAGGGATGTCTGTGAGTAAGAGCATGGTGACAGAAAGGGTGCTTTGCTGAGTCCACTGGCCATTAGGTGTTAACTTGTAAGGCATCACAAGCACATTTCAACATGTACCTGCTGTACGGTTTGAAGCACTCGTATATAATCCATTTAATATACATACACACCTTTTGTAATTATGATGCCTTACGGTGATTACTGTGATGACAAAATAAGTCTCAGTTTTAGTGATTTAACAGAGAGCCCTTTGTCTGCCCTGGGGAAAAAAAAAAAAAAAAACCAACACTAAAAACATTTCAGTTTTGTGTGTGTGTGTAGTGTTCTTGAGATGAAAGTTCAGAAACTCGGTGTTACAGCATAGCATCAATGCACTGTTAACCTGTTTTGCAGTGTTATGGGTTGGCATTAAAATCACATTTACCAGAGGTTATTCTGACAGGGTGAACACAGATGCAGTGGGAGAGAAGTAGTCCACATCTTTGACAGTGAGAATGTGTATGGGTGGGTGCATGTGTAGAGGTGCAGGGGGCAGCAATCCTCCACAGTCACAAGGCATGAGCTGACAAAGAGTGGCGAACTGTTAATGCTGATAAAGTCTCAATGAACATCCTCCTGATTCGAGAGGAGGGGAGGGGAGAGCTAACCCACACACTCTGTTGGGTCTTACATGCTTCTGTATTAACATGCAACCAATGCAAGTAAAACGAAAAAGTGTGTCATCACCACAAGCAGGAGAGTATTATACAGCACATCTGTTCATGAAGCACTGGTCACTGTGGGTTCTACTGGACAGAAGACTGGAAATGTGTCTGGTACATAAAAGGTGTTTAGGCCTTTGCAATTCAAATGAGATAATGATGAGCAACGAGTCCTTGTATGTATGATGTAAAGTAACTACGACTTTTGTTCAGCTCCTGCAGCAGACTGGGCGGCGCTGTCCGGTTTAAGAATCTGGTAGGTGATGAGGTACTCTGGGTAGGCCTGAAGGAAACAAACAGCAACCAGTTAGCCAACATCGCACAGCAAATGTATATTTTCTTATATAATAGCCTAAACAAGATTCAGGAAAAGAAATCTTTCACACATTGGTATCTTTATGTACCTGCTCTCCTCTGTAGATGACATACTCGGCGTAGGCTAGGCCATTAACGCTGGGCCGTCCAATTACTGAATGATGTCCTGGGGGTGCGTGGGCCATCTTCATGGCACTGAACTGTAGGAAGGACTTCCCCAGGGTCACTCGGCAGAACAGCAGTTGCCTGAGAGTACAGGTGAGCAGAGCAAAGTTTTACAACCAGAGCATCTTTTAGTGCAGTTAACCTCGATAGTCCTCCTTGTGAAGTCAGAGTTACCTGTGGCACAGGTAGCAGGACCGGTCTTTGTGCGTCGGGCAGCCTGTGCCTCCACCAATGCCATAGACGTACTGATTGCTCTTTGAGGAGTTCTCTGCAAAGTAGATCCCTGCTCCAAACATTCCACCTATGTAGGCATGGCGTTCATCAAAGCCTTTGTGGATGATAGCGTTGATGAATGGGGAACCTGAAGGGAGACGAGACGATATATACAGGATCTGATTTTCAGTGCTTTACACTGAATTAGATACTGGACAAATAAAAACCTAAAGTTATTGATAGTGGTTTTAAAGAACTAAAGTCAAACAAGCCACTCTAAACGAGTCCGCTGATGCTGACACATGAACCAAACAGCTGGTGTGACTATGGGCGTGGTTACCGTGAAACAACATCCGCTCATTGTGGTGGTTGTGGTTCTCATCTGCGATCTCCTTCTGTCGGTGGGCGTAACGTTCCCTCAGCTTCTTGTTTACCACCTTCTGAATCTGTGAGGTGCAATATGACACATCATGTCAAGATGTCGGGTGTCGTGCTTTACACCAAGAACTACATGTTGACCCACATACACCAGGTCAGATCACTGAGATCAAGTTCTGTGAACACCATCTACCAATGAAATAGTCCCGATAATAGTTATTCAGTGTTCTGTAGGCAGAGAGAAGCACAGAGAGATTCCTATCACAGACCTTCATGATGTTGTATCTGCTGAACACACCACCAGCGTTGCCTCCGTCTCTGTGTTCTCTGATGGTGCTCTGCATCTGAGGGACACACAACAAAAATGTCATGATGTTTTAGCAAGACAAACTATTAGCAGCTATCAGTCAATGGTCTGCAAAAATTTTCTAATACTTTTATTGAGCAAGCACATACAGTGGGTGCATAACGGCCCTGCTTCAATCTACAGTTACTAAATATGTCTTTAAACGGGATTTGTGGTCTCAGTTCTGTAGTCCACACAATCAGAAACATGTTAAGTTCATAATGATCGGTGGTACCTGTTTAAAACAAACAACTTGAACTCATCTCACCTCCTCCTCCACAGACTGGTACTCCTTGTCATCTGGGGCGAGGTCGATCAGGATGGTGCCCTGGTTGGCACAGTGGAATGTCAGGTAGGGGTTGCCTCCTGTGTAGGAAATAAGTCAAAATGAAAAGCCCCTATGTGTAGGCTGTGAAAATATGTGACATCAGCAGTACACAAAATGGCGAGGATGCCTCCTCACCTTGCTGACCACCCAACAGCCTCTCAACACCTTTGATAAGCTTGTGTCGGTGGCCATAGGCGTTGATTCCAATCTCCTTCAGCTCCTCGTGACCCATGTCAGCTAGCACGTCCAGGGTGATCTGGAAAACGGCAATAATTTAGCAGGTTGAGAAGTTCACCTCAAACAGTGCCTCTAGTATCCACTTTAACAAATAACAGGGCTTTCCTGAATGACAGGCATCAAATACAAATGTGAAACTTATGGTTACACTTGTGAACAACACAAATGTTTCAGTTGGAGTATTGCTGAGACAGCTGACCTGCTCCCTCTCAAAGATGTCCCTCAGGTGCTCCAGGCCCAGGCTCTTCAGGAACTGACTTATGTTCATGTCCAGCACTGGCACTATAAAAAAACAGTGTTAAAGTGGAATGAAAAACAATTTACCGTTTCAAACAAGGTCGGAGCATATTTTCCTGGTCAACAGCTCACTAACTTTCCATGTCCATTTTTTTGCTGTGTTAACCTGCTTTGACCAGAATTCACCATGCTACTAACTTACTTTCCCCTTCCTTACGGTGAGCTAGCTCAGCAAGTGGCCCGGCCAGGTTGTCTATGCTGCTGGCGGCTGACAGACAGGACGGCGTGGAGGCTGGGGAGATGACTGAGGCACTGACCACTGTGGCCTGGGGCTTAAAGCAGCTGGGGAGGGCGTCTGGGGGCATGGCGTCCATCAGTAGGGCCCGGATATCATCAGCCTGCAAGAACAGCAAGGAAAACTAGTTGAAAGAAGTCTGACTTAAGTTCCAGCAGATTTGTTTATGGTACCTACCCTTTTCTTTCAGTTTGGGGCCTTCAATAAAGAAGAGTATAAAACAACGAGGACTATAACCTACTTTTAACTATTGAGTGAAAACAGACTTTTCATTTTATGAAGCGTTTCGATATACTTCACTGGCCCCACACCTATCTAGGCCTAAAAAGTCATTCCAAATCTGTTGTTGTCCATCTG